TGTGGGTTAGCTCAGTTTTTTAAAGCGTCTGCTTGGGCAAACTCAGCCAGGCGCAGGGGACTGCAGTTTGATCCCCAGCTCCACAAGCCTCACCAGACCCACCCTTAAGGCAGCCTGAGCTAGCCAAAAAAAAAAAAATCCTCCAGAATGTTCATGAGGTGAATCAAAATAGTAAGGAGTCCAAAAGAACTGAAATCATCATGCCACAGCAGTATATGTGCACCCATGTTAATAGCAGCACAATTTGTCACAGCTAAATCTTGGAAATAACCAGAAAGCCCTTCAACTGAGGAATGGACAAAAAATGTGGTATTTTTACACAATGGAGTATTACACAGTTATAAAGAATGATGGAGTTGAGGCTTTTATAGGTAAATGGATGCAACTAGAGACTGTATTGGTAAGTGAAATAAATGAAATGACCTGCATGTGCAAACATATTATCTCGCTAGGGTGAAAATATCAAAGAGTAAATAAAATCTGAAAGATACAATAGATATTAGGAAAGGGAAAGCATCTGTTAAATGGGGAGGAAAAACTGGGATGAAGAAAAGGACACAAAAATATGCGAAAAACATATATTTATGTACCTATGCAGGATAGTTTGGATAACTGTACTGCTAATTTCTGCTGGTTTAATGACACGGATAGTGAATGATTAAAATTTTTTAAATTCAATTTAATTTTTTTCTTTTTAATCTCTTATAACTTTCATTACTGACCAATTTTTCAGGTTTATATCTGGTAGCCTAAGCAAGTAATTTGAAGACAACATTATGCAATACAACAACCACCACTGAATCCCTATTACTTTAATGAAATTTGGTATGGTTTCTAATTTTTTTTACCATTTTGTATTCAAAAAGAAAAAATTTAAATAAAGAAAAAATAAAATAGTAAGCAGATAAACATTTCATTTTAATAGCTATACACTTAAAATACATTATAATAGCCAGTAAATTAAAGCTATGATTTTATGAATATCATGATGTTTCCCTTAAGAATGAATATATTTTACTAAAAAGAAAGTCAATAGATTTAACTATAGATGTATATTACATACCTAATAATGCAGATCTTTAAATAGAGAAGGCAAAAACTGTCATGCCCAAAGAACTGATGTTTGGAAAGTGTTGTTTGGATTATTCTTTTGAGAAGCTTGCTGGTACAGCAAAGAAGACTTGTATGGCGTTGAGAGAAATTTGCTTAGAATTGGAAAGATTTGTACTTCATTTTTTAAAAAAAAATTTTTTTGCGAGGGTCCCACAATGTGGTCCAGACTTACCTCTAACTCTTGTCAATTCCTTGGCCCAAGGCTCCAGAGTGCTGGGATTACAGATGTGCCCAGCCACCCCAGCCTGGAGTACCATTAACGGCTAATGACCCAGGTGTTTGAAAAGGGTGGGTTGAAAGTCACAGTAAACAGGGATGCAATGAATTCCAGAGCAGGTGGGAGGTAATCCCAAAGGGATCTGATTAGCCACAGACAACTGCAACACCTCTTCTTCCACAATGGGAGGGAAGAACAAAACAATAATCTGAGTAAAACACCTTATTGAAGTGGATAAAAGAACTGAGGGATTTCTCACTAAAAATCATCTATTCTGTCAGTCGTTTGTGGGGCAGAGCATGTACTGCATAGAGAGGGCAATAGCTTGAATATAGTGGATGAGAAGCTTGAAGATGGTAGACAAGGACAACACCTGACTTCTGAGGGCTGTGTGTGGAAGGGCTGAATAAAGACAGAACATAAGCAACAGCGCAAGAGCACAGTTATGATAGAAAACGGGAAGCTCAGTGACCTGACCATAATGGCTTAAGAGATTTTCTCCCATAGGCTGAGACTAAGCACGCTGAATAGGGACTGGATACTGAGCCCAGTAGAAAGGGATAAGAGGATGAGACAGTTTCAGGACTAGTAAGGAGAAAGTTCCAGTAATTGTTCATGGTGACATAAACTGTACAGGAATAAAGGAAGTTGAAAGTAGTGGAAATCTGACTCAAATAAAGGGACATAGGAGGTTACAGTCTGAGACAGTGCATTTTTAGGGGCAGTTGAGGTCCAGGTGGCTGAAGAAAAAGGGATGCTGACGTCACTGCAACTCAGGCCCAGACCTCGAGGAGCTGGAGTAGGAGCGGAGGCCTTCACTGGGAACCCATCCGGATGTTGGCTATGCTTATGATGGAAATATTGAAAACCAGAGCCCACAGAGTTCTAGAATGGAAGGTAAGTGAACAAGAGTTTGCGACAGTGGTGAAGCAAAAGAGGCAGAGTGGGCTGTGGAGCAGCAAGCATTTTCCCATAATATAAAGGTGAAACAACGGTCTAGAAGAGATGAGACTGTGTCGTGCTGAGCAGCATGTAGGGCAGGGCAAAAAGAAAAGCCTCTATTGAGGGTGTGTTGTGCAAAGGATAGGAAGGACTCTTTGTTCCACGATTGCCAAGAGATAAAGTATGTTAATAAGCTGGACTCTTACACAGCATACTTTACAGAATCTCTGTGAATCCTATATGTATACAGAATTATCACTGGCTAATAATAAAACTGTTTCAATAAATAATGTCACAAAACAAAAGAAAAATATATTGCCTAGAGAGCCAAAGGCAAAGAGTTGGGAGGGAATGAAACAAAGAAAAGAAGAGCAAGACTGAACAGAAGTCATGTGGACTATGATGGTGCCCACAGAACAGGATTCCCACTTAGCTCCCTTGACCCACAACCAAACCACAGAATGGACATGCTGTCTTCAATTAGGACTTACCTTTCAGGAAAATAAGCCTCCAGGCAAAGCATGTATCTATAGCAGAGCTGTCTTAAGTAAAATTGCTAAGCCATTATTTCTGGAAAATCCCAAAATTCTTCTAAATAAAAGAAGTCTTAAACTGGCAACTTCCTGGTTTACAGGGAAATAATAGCCTTGCCTCCTTCTCAGATCCAGTCCCTCTCCATAAAGCTGAAGGACCTCAGGTGAAACCAGCCCCAAGAACAAACCTACATTTCCTTCTCCGTGCCTGTAATCCCACATGAACAGCAGATGGCAGCAAAGCACTGGAAAGGGAGCCAAACCATTAAAAGAGCTACAGCCTGGCCAGAGAGAAGGCGGTGGGGCTCACTAAATTCTACATGGCCAGCGAACAGCTTTGTTACATCAGTTTACTTGTTCTATTGAGTTGGACCATCAACAAGATATAAGCAGTTAAAGAATAAATCATTTTGCTCACCACGGTCCTACTAATTCTTAGCTCACCAGCTAGGGATTTGGACTACCAGTCAGCTCTTCCTAAGAAGGCACAACTATTCTCCCAGAAATGACAAGGAAGGGAATGTGAGCTAGGCTTCAGAAATCATGTTCTACTCCCCTACCATCCTCTGTAACATCTGTCACACTGCATTATCATTGTGGGTCTTCCACGACAGACAGAGCCACCTTGTGGAAGGACTGGGGCTTTCTGGCTCATCTCCAATTCCCTAATGAGTGGCATACAGTAGATGGTCAATAATGCATGCCCAGTGAACAGTTCAATCAGGGCAGCAGGTTGAGAAGATTCCTAGTCTGATGTGATTGGGAGACAGATACCTGGCCTTCTGAACAGTGTGGCACAGAGGAAGTACTTGACTGGGAAGGAATTTGGGTGGGACTTTAAACCTTGGCTCTATTACTTATGGCTGTGGGCTAGAAATTCAATGTTTCTGCGCTTTGATTTTCTCCTCTACTGGAGTACTCTTCAACAGGATGGGAAAATATGCAAAGGATGCTGAGCACTTATATCTTACAAAGCACTGAATGAAATGAAAAGGAGTCACTGATATTTACGTAGTTATTACTGCTGCTGCATCTTCCCAGCACCGGGTGCCAGGGGAAGGGCAAAGAATGATTATGAGTAGGAAATAAATTGGAATTAAGACTCAGAGTCTTCCTTGGCTCAGTTCCCTCAAACAGCACAGCAACAGATATAACAAAAGGCTGTAAAAGAACCAGCCAAGTCTAGAAGGAGTGGCTTTACAGATTATTCCCTTGGAGGGAAGGATGGCTACTTGGTACTTCTCATGTCTGATTAGTCTAGTCCAGCAATTTGACAGCTTTTGTAGTGACTTTAGGGTACAAACAGGATTAAATTATAGATATACAGATTTGCCCATAATTCCCATCACACATCTCAGAAGCAGAAACAACGGGTAGTTACAGTCTGGTATTCTACTTCTGTTCAGAAATGCTGCTGTGCAGAGAAACAGCACATTTCCTGGATACTAGAATTTCAGATTTCCCTTAAGGCTCAGTAAGACAATGAGTGCTTTTAAAGCAGATTACAGGAAGTGTTCTTTGACAGCATTAGATTCCCAGTGGCTGCATAGGGTAAAAGCAACTTCAAAGAATAGACAGATTGATGGAAAAGAGGCCTGATTGATTGGAAAAGGTATAGGAAGCAAATGTCCACTTACAAGAAGCAGCATAGCCCAGTAGAGGTCCAGACCACATTTCAGTGAGCTCAAAAATGCAAGAGACTTCATGCCATTTTAGTGTGACAGGAATGAAACCACTGCCAAGTTAAGGTAGGGAGGGGTTTGTCTTCCAGAAAAATGTCAGTGACCAAGACAAAGAGGCTGGTAGAGAAGAGTGAAAGACAGTGTCTTCCATTTATGGGGCCTTCAAGGAATAGAGGAATGCTGAGCAGGATCATTTCTCATAGTACGCTGGCAGAGTATGAGGGATATACCATGCAAACCCAAGTTGCCACCACAAGTCCAAAGTCTAGGCCATTTGACAGGCAGGTAATGGGCACCGGGCTCACCTACAAAGGATGGGTCTATAATGCCCCAGACTCTGTAGGCCTCATCCCTGCTCATCTCCTCTGGGCCTGACATCTGCCATCAAGCTTGCTGAGAACACCCAGCCAAGCAGCCGTGCAAGATCCCAGTAGGTATGTAAGAGGTTATGACTCCACCGAATAGAGGGAGAGGTGTGTGGTGGTGGTGCAGGGTGGGGGTTGGCTAGCTTACCTCCTTTCCAAAGCAGGTACATGGGCACCACATAGAGCATGACATGTTGAATGTAGTAGATCTCCAGTTCAAAGGGGAGCTGTGAGGACAAGATGGAGAGAGGTGTTTCAGAACAGGAAGCTTCGGAACTTGGACACTCTTGCTCTTCACGACCTACATTTCAGTAACTCTAGGCATTTCATTAATTCACTTCCCCTTACAATTTGAGAAAAAACAATCACATGGATAAACTTCGGGCCTAGATGAGTATGTTCCATGGTTTATTTTGCAAAGACAGCAAGTAAAATTACTCCACTAAAAAAGTTTGAGAAACTTAAAAATATTGCATACAATATATTCCCTTGGAGGTTCACTATACATATTAGTGGTATATTAAAGCCTTGAGTGTTCTCTGTAGGAAGCCTACTTAACATTGTTTCTCCAGTGTTTTCCAAATTTACTTAGCAACTGACTTAAAAACATTCTATAAAATGCACTTGAAGAAACACAATCTTGTAACACTTCTGGTTACTGACAAACTACAGCCTATTTCAAAAATTTATATCTCATGCATCACAAAGAAAATACAAAGAAGAATTTATTCTCCCATTTTCAAGTGAAAATAATTGATTCCAAGAATAATGAACGTACTCATTAGATACCTGAGTGTCAGTCCCTGATATGCCCTGGTTTTGAGAATAACAAGTAGTTGGCCCTGTTCTGGCATCACTTGGCAAAAAGAACTTCCCCACCCTCCTGCCACCTAACACCCTCTCTTTCATCTGCTTTCAATCTACTGCAAAAAGAAAGCTCTGGATCACCAGTGTTTCCACCTGGCATGGGGAATTTGCTTTTGAGTTTGGCAGCAGGCACAAAATGGAAACAGCTGGAAAAGACCCTGAGCAGCTGGAAAGAAGCCTAGCCTATAGAGCATGCTCAATTCCTAACCCCCTACCATTCCCTGACTTACACCAAGAAAACCTGGAGAGAAAATAAGCCCAGTCGGTAAGATGTCAGCTGCCTCCCTGTTCCCTAATAGGCAGGCTCAGAATGAATAGTGCTAGTGAGAGGGGGTCAAACCTGCCTTGTGTCAAGGGCTAGAACCAAAAAAACAGCAGAGCTTTCAGAATAGAAGCTGGGACAACTATAGATCCTGGACACAAACAGTAGCTCTGCTTCTTGACAATAGAATCCATATCAAAGAAAATTTTGCAGGGACTCAGATGATCCTTAATTATAACTTTATTTCATAGAGAGGAATGTAAAAATTCAGAAAAGATGAGATTCCAAGCATCTCTGAACATGCTGGGATATGTTATGAGATTTGATAGTGGATATTACTAGTACCAGGTGGGTATGGAGGCCCAAGAGGCCCACACTTGACCCTCAGTGAAGCGGCTGTGGAAGGCTTTGCTATTTTATTATTTTAATATATATTTTATTTATTTATTATTTATTTTTTGCAGTACCAGGGACTGAACTCAGGATCCTGCGCTTGCCAGGCAAGTACTTATTCTACTGCACTATCTCCCTGGCCCCTGCTACTTTAAGTTTGGGGATTGCTTTATAATTTTCAAATGTTTTTATATTCATATCTACTCAATCTCTCATTTGGCATATGAGGAACTTGAAATACAAAATGGTTAACTGATTTGACTGAGGTCACTCAGAAAAAAAGGCAATAAGGACAAGTCCCAGCTATCTGGCTGTAGTCAGAACCTTGACCTCTCCTTGGAAGTCAGGCTACTGTCCCAAAGCAGGAAGCAGAGAAGTGGGGCAAAGCTCTGCGGACAACAGTCCCATGGCATCCTCAGGCAGGCCGTCTGCCTGCCTCTCAACCCTCAGCTGCCAATTCCTCACCTTGCAGTGCCCACGGCCTCTTCCTGATTCAGATATGACTCAGCTACTGAATCATCCTATAGCCTTGGGCAAGACCCATAACCTTTCCACCCTAGTTCTGGCATCAGTAAAAGAGCAATACTAATGCTGTCATCATACTATTGTGTAGTTTTAAAATTTATAAAAACATAACAACCTAAAATGTTTTGTGCAACTACCACAAACATTTTGTTAACTATGAAGGTAGTTCTCATAGCAATGAAATTGTCCTAATTACCTTCATTTTAGACATGAGAAAGCAAAAAACTTAAAACAAAAAAAATTGAAAAACCAAAGTTCAGAGAGATTAGATAGCTTACTGAAGGGCAGAGAACTCACTTGATAACACAGGCAAGATTCAAATTCAAGCACTCTGCTCTAGAATTTAGGCCTTAGCCAGCATACAGTTGGTCTTCTCTTAGTATCCATAGGGCATTGTGCTCAAGACCCTCCAGCCACAAATGCTCAAGTTCCTTATATAAAATGACATAGTGGGGGGCTGGGGAGATGGCTCAGTGGAATAAGCGCTTCCCTGGCAAGCACAAGGGCCTGAGTTCAATCCCTGGTTCCACCAAAATTAAAATAAAATAAAATAAAATAAAATAAAATGACATAGTGTTTGCATATAACTCACATAGTCTTCCTGCACACATTAATTTTTAGATGACTTACAACAAATAGTGCAAGCCACCCACTAGCCAAGAAAAGAAGATGGGGCCATGCTGAATTTGTGGTACCAGTGTGACAACCTGTCAAAGATGCTTGCAAGTTTGTGGGAATGAATATCTGGACTACAAAGAAAGTTGCAGAAGATGAGAAGAGTTGGAAAGCAAATGATAAATACATTTGACTAGATGTTACATGACAGACATATACAAATATACATTTAAAAAACAGAGGGCCTGGGGAGATGGCTCAGTAGAATAAGTGCTTGCCTGGGAAGTGCAGAGTCCTGTGTTCAGTCACCAGTACTGCAAATAAATAATAAAATAAAAAATAAAAAACAGAAACATGAAGCCAGGCACAGTGGTACACATTTGTATTCCCAGGTACTCAACAGGCTGAAGCAGGAGGATCTCAAATTCAAGTCCAGCCAGAACTACTTACCAAGACCCTTTCTCAAAATAAAATCACAAGGGCTTGGTATATAGCTCAGTGAGAGAGCACTTGCCTAGCATATGTGAGGCTCTGGGTTCAATCCCAAGTGGTACAGAACAGACAAGGAAAGAGAAAGCAAAAAACAGCAGTTTAAAAGAATGAAATTCTAAATGTACAGAAATGTATTTTCTTCAAGCACGTCAATGGGACATCCATGTACTCCACTTTGCAAACTTTCAAAAAGAAAGGATGGGTGGTGAGAGATGGGGGCCAAGACCAAAGGGTAATCTCAATATGGAGAAATATTTTTTGGATTGAAGGAAAAGAACAACTGAACAGAAGGAATCTTAAGAAGCAAGAAGGACAGGAAGCACCAGGTCACAGGAAGATCAGAAAACAGCAGAAGGGGATGGAACCCAAAGCATAAATGGAGGAATTAGTCTTGGGATCCTAGGACCTGTGATGAAAAGACAGGCTGGGGAGATGGCTCAGTAGAATAAGCACTTTCCTGGCAAGCGCAAGGGTCTGAGTTCAATCCTTGGTTTGGCCAAAAAAATGAATAAATAAATAAAGAGACTGAACTGAGAGTAATTATATGAGGGGGGATTGTGTGCTATAAATTAAGATAGCTCACATCATATCTCCAGAGACAGCATGACAGCAAGTCCAGAGCTAACGATGAGGCACAGAGTAGGCAATCACAAAGAGGCCCCTGGTTTCTGTTTAGCCACAGACTACAGCTTCTCAAAATAAGGACCTCTGATACAAAGCACTGTACATTCAGAGAACAGAATACCAAGGTAAGGGAATACCCAGACAAATCCATTATCTGAGCCATTCGAGGAAACAATACAAAACAGGATCAATATTTCAGTATCACAAATGCAAAGGTAGATGGACTGTTTCTAGAGTCAAACAAACAAACACTACAGAGATAGAACAATTAAAGCAATACCTAAACTTGACTATATCTTGATTTAAAAAAACAAAAGTCCAAAAACACCTTTGAAAAATGAGGAAATTTGACTATAAATTCACTGTCATTTATAGACACAAAAGCTTAAATGTTATACAGTGTCTTTTATGAGAGAAACATGAATTATAAAGATCAAAATATAAGTTACATAACACGAAGTAGGGAGACACATTTTCCTCAAATGTGAAAGAGATCAAGAGATGGAGGGAGGGGCAGCCGCAGTTTACAGTGCAGTTATGGCCAAGTCCAAGAACCATACCACGCATAACCAGTTCCCAAAATGGCACAGAAATGACATCAAGAAACCTTGGTCACAAAGATAAAAATCTCTGAAGGGGGTAGATCCCAAGTTCCTCAGAAACATACATTTTGCCAAGAAGCACAACAAGAAGGGCTTCAAGACAATTCAAGCAAACAATGCCAAGGCCATGAGTGTACACACCAAGGCTATCAAAGCCCTCAGCAAGCCCAAGGAGGTCAAGCCCAAGATCATCCCAAAGGGAGTAAACCGCAGGCTCACTCGACTTGCTTATATTGCCCACCCCAAGCTTGGGAAGTGTATCCGTGCCTGCATTGCTAAGGGTCGCAGGGCTTGCTGGCCAAAGGTCCAGGCTCCAGCCAAGGCCAAGGCTCCAACTTCTGCCCCAGCCCAGGCCCCCAAAAGTGCCCAGGCCTCTGTGAAGGCTCCAAAGTAAAAGACTCTTATCTGCTGATGTAAAAACAGAAGGACTGGTGTAACCTCTGGGGTGCCATCTGTGGGAGCTGCTGTCCTCCTGTGCTCTTTGTACAAATAAACCTGAGGCAGGATTTTTTAAAAAAAAGAGAGAGACAGAGGGAGCAGGAGAGGGGGAAAGGGCAAGGATGAACAAAAGTAATGAAGACGTGTGCTGTACCTGTGCTGACTCCACACAAGGAATGGAAACATTATATCCTATCAACATATACTAATAAAACAACTTTAAATGTAGATGGTACTTAGAAGTGCTGATAATTTTCTGAAGAAGAACAATGACATTTTGATTATACAGAGAATCTCCTTATTCTTAGAACTGCAGGCTGAAATATGTAGAGCTATGAAGACACTATAGCTTTCTCTTTAATCATTCAGCAAAAATGAGAGAGGCTTAGAAAGTAGATTTTAAAAATGC